AAAAAAAAAAAAAAAAAAAGGTTGGTTTAATTCACAGTGCCAAAAGGCAAAACTGACCACCCGGCAAAGTTATGGGGAAAGACATGTTGAAGGGCACTCATCGATTTCTAGCAAAGCTGCCTACAAATTGGAGGGACTCACTTGTCAACTAAGAAGCTCCCTCTACTTTGAAATTTTTTTTTTGCGTTGGGGTCTTACCCTGCGGCCCAGGCTGGAGTACAGTGGCATGATCATGGGTCACTGCAGGCTTGGCCTCCTGGGCTCAGGTAGTCCCCCCCCTCGGCCTCCCAAGTAGCTGGGACTACAGGTGTGCCACACCTGGCTGATTTTTTGTAGACGTAGTGTCTTGCTATGTTGCCGAGGCTGGTCTCAAACTCCTGGTCTCCAGCCATCCTCCAACCTTGGCCTCCCAAAGTGCTGGGATGACAGGCATGAGCCATTGCGCCTGGCCTAAGCAGCCCCCTCTTTAGAGGTTCGGGCAGAAACCAGATGAGCAGACACCATATCCTCTATTGAGATGACTCTTGCAAAGAGTGGGGTCTCTTGTTCATAGCTGTAAGGTTATGTTATAGTCTAGAATCATGTTTACATGTATACATTTGGAGATTTATGTCTACATTTATTTATTTATTTATTTATTTATTTTGAGTTGGAGTTTTACTCCGTCACCCAGACTGGAGTGCAGTGGCTGCTCCCGGCCACCGCAGCCTCGACCCGCTGGGCTCCGGCGATCCTTCTGCCTCAGCCTTCCAAGTAGCTGTAATTACAGGCGCACACTACCACGCCCAGCTGATTTTTGATTTATTGTAGAGATGAGGTCTCGCCAAGTTGCCCAGGCGGGTCACGAGCCCGCGGGCAATCCAGCACATTTATTTATTAATATTATGATTTATCCTGTCTTATGAATATATGATTTCTAGATGTATGTTTAGACTGTGTAAGTTATATGTTATGTTCACACAGTTGTATAGGTTTTTTTGTTTGTTTTTTGAGTTGGAATCTCATTCTGTGGACCAGGCTGGAGTGCAGTGGCACACTCCTGGCTACCACAGCCTTCACCTGCTGGGCTCAGGTGATCCTTCTGCCTCAGCCTTCCAAGTAACTGGAATTACAGGTGTGCACACTACCACGCCCGGCTTATTTTTTAAAATATATTATCTCAGCAAGTTGCCTAGGCTGTTCTCGATCCGGTGGGCTCAGGCAGCCCTCTCATCTTAACCTCCCAAAGTACCGGGATTATAGACATGAGCCACCGTGCCCGGCGTATAGCTGTATGTTCTATTTTTTTATCACTAAGAATACTCTGGAGCTGATACAGTTGTGACCTTGCCTGTTCTTTACAACATGAGGAGGAGAACAGAACACAGGCTATGCCACCTGAGTGTGATGTGCAGCAAGTTTATTAACCTTCTTTGAGCTTAATCTTCCTCGTCTGTAGAACAGGGGTATGAAGTTCTGATTTGCAGGAGTGTAGAGGGGAGTGAATGAGAAGCATGCACAGTGCTGCACATGAAGGCCTGAGGGGATGCCGGAGACACAGTGGACCCTCAGTGCGGGCGAGACCCCTTTCTCCCCCATGACTTAGAAGTCGTTGGTCCTACCAGGAAATCTCCTTAGGCTTTGGGGTGAAAGGCAAAGTCAGCCAAATCATTCCAGAAAAACAAAAAGTACAGCAACCCTTTTGTCAAAAATCTTTCTTGGGTTACTATAGAGGGGGACGATTTACTGCTGGGCTCAGGCGATCCTTCCGCTTCAGCCTCTTGAGTAGCTGGAACTACATGCGTGCCACACCACCCCTGACTCGTGTTTTGATCTATTATAGAGACAAGGTCTTGCCAAGTTGCCCAGTCTTGGCGACTTGGGTCTTGAACCCCTGGCCCAGGCAGTCCTTTCACCTCGGTCTCCCAAAATGCTGGGATTATAGGTGTGAGTCACCATGCCCAGCAGAAGTTGTACTTTAATGTGGCAAATGTTAGCATACTAAATGGGGGAATTCTGAATATTAGGGATATACTTTTCCCTGGAGATCTGTTGGACAGCATGTGACTAGTTAATAATGATGGATTATATGCTTGAAACTTGCTAAGAGAGTAGGTCTTTTATTTTTTTATTTTTATTTATTTATTTTTTTGAGTTGGAGTCTCACTCTGTCACCCAGACTAGAGTGCAGTGGCCGCTCCCGGCCACCGCAGCCTCAACCTGCTGGGCTCCGGCGATCCTTCCACCTCAGCCTTCCAAGCAGCTGGAACTACAGGCGCGTGCTACCACGCCCGGCTAACTTTTTCATTTGTTGTAGAGATGAGGTCTCACCAAGTTGCCCAGGCGGGTCTTGAACCCACAGGCTCAGGCAATCCACTCACCTCGGCCTCCCAAGGCGCGGGATTATAGGCTGAGCCACTGAGCCCAGCTGAGAGTAGGTCTTAAATGCTCTTACTGCAGCAAAATAAGATGCCATGGAATGGGTATGGCACTTTGATCTAATGAATTTATAGTGTACATGTGTCAGACCATCACACTATAACCTGAAAATGCACACCGTGTTTTATTATTTTATTTTTATTTTTAAAAATTTATTTATTTGAGTTGGAGTCTCACTCTGTTGCCCAGACTGGAGTGCAGTGGCTACTCCCAGCCACCACAGCCTTGACCTGCTGGGCTCCGGCGATCCTTCCACCTCAGCCTTCCAAGTAGCTGGAACTACAGGCGCGCGCTACCACGCCCGGCTAATTTTTTGATTTGTTGTAGAGTTGAGGTCTCACCAAGTTGCCCAGGCGGATCTTGAACCCGTAGGTTCAGGCAGTCCACTCACCTCAGCCTCCCAAAGTGTGGGATTACAGGCTGAGCCACCGAGCCCGGCCTCATTTTTTTTTAAAGCAGGATTTATCGATAGGACAGAAAAGCTCTCACAGTGGGAGGGGATCCGAAGGGTTGCCCGCACACAGTTTTTATTGGTTATGCCTTAATAAAGCTGGAGGAAATAAATCGCTAAGCATATAAATCCTGCTGTGTTTTCCACCAAAAAGGAAGAAGAGTATACTTCTGAAATTAAGTATAGGAAGAAGTTGAAAATACAGGGTAGAACTGCGCTTGCTGTACCACTAGGTGGCAGAAGCGACGGTTACATGCGTTGACTTGTTGATTTCCTAAGGGTTTAGGTGGCCATGCTTTAAAATGACAATGAATCAATGTTTCTCAAATATTTATGTTCTGCTATTTTGTGTTGTTGTATGATTAAATGTGTGGTTGAGTATTACATGTGGATTAATTTTGCTCTCATTTTTCAGTGCTAATGAAGGCACGGGACATTTTAAGGTATTTTATTTTTCATTTATTTCACTAGAGGACTCTTAACACACGGATCTGAGTCAGATTAGCAGCCAAGCGGAGGTTGTCTTCATTTGCAACAGGAGATATTTTGGAAGTAAAGTTTATTTAAATATGAAGTATGTTTAATAATACTCTAAGAGGTTTATGAGGAAAACTTATTAAGGAGGGATTTGGCATTCGGAGCAGTGGTCCAAGGACAATTAAGTGAAGACTTTGAAAACAGTGAAGCCAAATACTGTATTAATATGGTAGTAATAAAAGTTTCAAAGCATTTTTTGCATAGTTGGCATCTGGAGTCAAGTATAAGCTTAACATTTTATCTGCATGTAACGTTTTTGGCTCAAGTTAGCCCGCCCTAACTTGTTGCTTTAACCTTCATTGAGATTTTAGAGGTAAGAAGGAACACCTTTGTTATGCCACGGTTGTCTTGAAGGCTCCAAGTTACGTGGTGTGGCAACTACAGTGTGAACCATTCAAGAGAAGGGATACAGCAGACCTTCCAGCGCCTCAGCAATGCACAAGCAGGGGATGACTTTGATTTGTTTAGATTTTTCAGGGACTTTGTCAGCCTATTCTGAAGGTTGGGCACACTGCACCTGACTGCAGATGCTGTGGGGCTTTGTTTTGTGAACACACACGCTTAGAGACCTGATAGGTCCTCCTCTGAGAGGAGGATGTTCCAGATGACGCTCGAGATCAGTATGGACGGAGTGCAGTGTCCAGGCACTGCAGTCTTGGTGACTTTGACCTCCACGTTGTGGGACATCAAAATATGGTGTGTGACTTTGGGGCATGGTTCATGGCAGTGTGGAGAGCGGGAGAGGGGCCGATCGTTTCTGCTGCTTCAAGCAAGGCTGTGTGTGGCCAGTGGCTCCTAAGACGTCTGTCCCGTGACCTGCAGGAACCACCCAAGCCCACAGAGTTAAAAAACCTCAGGCAGAGCGAACTGGACTTGCATATCCCATTTGTGTTAACAAAGACATTTCAACCTGCAAAAAACAAAGAAAGAACTGGAGAATGAGTTTAAATAGTGGCCCGCAGCTGGTGCAGTGGCTCATGCCTGTAGTACCGGCTGAAACTGAGAGGCTGAGGCAGGAGGATAGCTTGAGCCTAGGAGTTCGCGGCTGCAGTGAGCTGTGATTGTACTGCTGCACTCCAGCCTTGGTGAGCAGCAGAAAGAGACCCTGTCTCTAAATATAAGATAAAATGAGAACTTTTTAATACCTAATCTGTGAGTTCCAGTTAAGTCTGTCTGACTGGGATGATGCCATATTTCACAAAGCAGGAATGGTAATATTGTCCAAAATAATTTTTCTAGAAGTCTTTTTTTTTTTTCTTCATGAGTCAGAGTTTCACTCTGTCACCCAGGCTGGAGTGCAGTGCATTATCATGGCTCACCGCAGCCTCGACCTCCTGGGCTCTGGTGATCCTTCCGCCTCAGCCTCCCAAGTAGCTAGGACTACAAACGCATGCCACCACACCCAGCTAATTGTTAAAATTTTTTTTGTTAAGCCGGACGTGGCCAGGAGCGGCCATTGCACTCTAGCCTGGGCGACAGAGTGAGACTCCAACTCAAAAAAAAAAAAATTTTTTTTTTTTGTAGAGATGAGGTCTTGCTCTGTTGCTTAGACTGGTCTTGAACTCCTGAGTGCAAGCCATCCTCCCACCTCAGCCTCCCAAAGTGCTGAAAATACAAGTGTGAACTACCACACCCAGCAGAACTATTCTAGACTAAAGGAGAGTGCAGAGATGTGACAGCGAAATATAATGCATGATCCTTCTTTTCTATTTATTTTTTATTTTTTTGAGTTGGAATCCCATTGTCACCCAGGTGAGAATGCAGTGAATGCTCACGGCCACTGCAGCCACGACCTGCTGGGCTCAGGCGATCCTTCCGCCTCAACCTTCCAAGTAGCTGGAACTACAGGCGTGCATCACCACGCCCAGCTGAGTTTTTGATTTATTGTAGAGACGAGGTCTCGCCAAGTTACCCCAGCGGGTCTCAAACCCCTGGGCTCAGGCATTCCTTCTTGCTTCAGTCTCCCAAAGTGCTGGGATAACAGGCATGAACCTCTGGCCCTGGCGCTGAGGTGTAATTTACCTTGACCAGGTAGGCTTGAAGAGGGGAGGAAAGTGCATCTCAGGTGATGTCTCATCATCAGGATGCGTACAGCACCTGTCTGTGTCTCCAACATTAGCAGCTGTTCGTTTAGTGTCCAAATCTGTTGACTGATTACACATTGAACAATGGTGCTGCCATTTCTTATTTTACTAGTTGGAAAATTCTGTAAGGAAAAACTGTTCTTTGTTTGCTACGGTTTTAAAAATCAGTGACAGTCCCTTGGTCAGATGTCCATGTGGTATTTACATTTCTTAGATTGTCTTATGAAAATGGTTAATGAGCTGGGGCATACTTTGGGAGGTGAAGGCTAGAGGACTGCCTTAGCTCAGGGGTTCAAGACCAGCCTGAGCAACTTGGCAAGACCTTGTCTCTATGACAAACCAAAAAATTAGCCAGTCGTGGTGACACACACCTGTAGTTCCAGCTGCTTGGAAGGCTGAGGCGGAAGGTGTGCTTGAGCCTAGCAGGTTGAAGCTGTGGTGGCTGTGTGTGCTACTGCACCCCAGCCTGGGCGACAGAGTGAGATTCCAGCTCAGAAAACAAAAATGGTTGATGGCTTTTGTCTCCATTAAAGTCCACACACATCACTGGCTGAGACAGCCCTCATGTGGTTTTTAGTCTAGCCATTCCTCCTCGTTCTTTTCTTCCTTGCAGTGCTTATATTGAGGAAACCAGGTGGTTTTAGACATTTGGTCTTGGGTGTTCTTTGTCTTTTTTTTTTTTTTTTGGAGCCAGAATCTCACTCTGTCACCTAGGTTGGAGGGAGGGCAGCAGCACACTGCTCGTGGCCACTGCAGCCTTGACCTGCTGGGCTCAGGCAGCCCTTCCACCTCAGCCCAGCACCACAGGCATGCACCACCACGCCCAGAAAGTTTTTTGATTAACTAGAGACAGGTCTTGCCATGTTGCTCAGGCTGGTCTTAAACCCCTGAGCTCAGGCCGTCTTCTCACCTTTGTCTCCCAAGTGCTGGGATTATAGGCTTGAGCCACTGCACCTGGCCTCTCTCTGTCTTTTTTTTTTTTTTTTTTTTTTTTTTTTTTTT